GGCCAGAGGAAGGCGGGAGGAGCCTCTCTCCCCACCTCCGGCTAGGCTGGACGCGGCCTTCCTCCCCGTCCCCAGCACCCGTCCCTCCACAGCCCTTCCCCCCCCTTCCGGGGGGCTCACCTGTGGCGTTGAGCAGTTTGGGGAGGAAGTGGTTCCAGAAGGCGCAGATCTGGGCCCGCAGACTGGGTTGGGGGGCCAGCGGCTGGGTGTTGAGCTGGACGTACTGCGGCCGGGAGGCGGTGTAGGTGGGCCAGGCCCCGTTCTTATCGGCGGAGTCGGTGGGGTTCCTTGGGACGAGAGAGAAAGGGGGACCGGCGATTGACAAGGCCGGCCTCCCAGCTGCCCTTTGGTCCCGTGCGGGGCGCCCCGATCGTACTTCCCCTTCTCCCCAGGCCAGATCCCCCAAATCCAGCTCCACCCCAGAACTTCCCTCTGGCCCTGCCCCCATTTCGGTCTCCAAGTTAGAACCAGAGGTCCCGTAGAAGGAGGCCTCCTGCCTAAGCAGAGGGTTGGGCTAGAAGACCTTCAGGGTCTCTCTTCTGACGCGCGTCATCACGCAGCTGTGTGCAGGGACAAGCCTTCCCAGGAGGTCTCCCCATTTAGAAGTCCCCTTTCCTGGTGCAGCTGCCAACCCAAGTTGGCCTCTCATTTGTGTTGGAGGCCTGAAGATCTGGACACTCGTTTTCTTGCCGTCAACGGTCAAGTTCTCCTTTTACAAGACGGCGTTCCGTGCCTGCCGGGTCTCCCGCTTCCCTCCGCGTCCTCCAACTTTCCATCTCGCCCCCCCGCCCCTTCCTTGATCCAGGCCCCCCCTGGCTGCTCCCCCTCCCCCAGTTCAGTCCCCTCTGGTTACCTTCCCCCCCTTCCTTGACCAGCACCCCCCCCCCGGCACCCTCCAGTTACCCTGTCCGGGCGAAGTTGACCCAGTAGCGCATCATCCTGCGGCTTAGCTCCTTCTCTTGGGGCGTGTAGTTCAGGCTGTCGTTGAGGGGCAACCCAAAGACAAACTCGATCTCGTAGCCGTGGGGGACCCCCATCCAGGGAGGCCAGAGCAGGTTGGAGGCCCGGTGGTCGAACAGGTAGGCGTACACCTTGTTGTTGCGCTTGGCGTAGTCATTGGCGAACTGCACGACGGGGCAGATGATGTTGTGGTCCCCCACGATGTCGTCCAGGGCCTCCCGGTTCTTCTCCCCGTTGTCCTGGTCCTGCCAGTCGGTGTACTGCAGCACCACGGCCTCGGTGGCGATGTCGTTGGCGTGAGGCACGCCCATCCGCACCCCTTCCAAGAAGTCGGCCTGGCTGATGAGGCTCTCGTTGTCCTTGCTGAAGCCCGGCAGCCCGTAGATCAGAAAATAGGAGCCCTCGTCCTTCACCACGCCCAGCAACACCTGGGTGTCCTTAAAGTTGCCCGAACTCAGCATGGCCTCCGGGGTGTCCGGAAAGAAGTTCCCGTCAATGACCGGGACGAAGGGGAAGCGGAAAACGCTCTTGTACGGCAGGACGGACCACTCCTCGTCGATCAGCTCCTGTGGGCTTTTCGAGCGCAAACAACTGACCAGCTCGGAATCGTTGTTGAAGTGGCAGCCCAGTTGTTTTCCCAGAAGGGCCGCCCGGCGCCGGCTTTCGGCAGGCGTGACGGTGGCCCACGGTGCGTTGGGGCCGCCGCTCTGCAGAATGGCCCGCTGGAAGAGGCCGCGGCTCTGGGTGGAAAGGAGGTGCATGCCCACCGAGGCGGCCCCGGCACTCTCCCCAAAGATGGTGACCGCGCTGGGGTTGCCTCCAAAATAATGGATGTTGTTCTGGACCCACTGCAGGGCCAAGCGCTGGTCCAGCAGCCCCATGTTCCCCGGCGCCTCCGGACTGCCCGGGAGGCCCAAAAAGCCAAAGGTCCCCACGCGGTAGCTGAGGGAGACCAGGATGACGTTCTGTGTGTAGGTCAGGAAGCGGCCGTCGTAGACGTCCAGGGAGGCTGCGCCGCTGTAGAAGCCGCCTCCGTAGATCCAGACCAGGACGGGGGCATCTCTGGGGCGCGGGGAGGGCACCCAGATGTTGAGGTAGAGGCAGTCCTCGCTCATGCCCCGGTTGGGGTTCCACATCTCCGTGCCGTGAAAGCCCGGGTAGCTGTTGTCCACCATCTGGTAACAGGCGTGCCGATAGGAAGTAGCGTCCAGGACGTGCTGCCAGGGTTTGACCGGCTCGGGGCGCAGGAAGCGCATCCTGCCCACGGGAGGCTCCGCAAAGGGGACGCCCAGGAAGGCCGAGACGTGGCCGTCGAGAACCGGCAGGCTCAGCCCACGCACCCAACCCATCTGGGTGGAGACTTTCAGCTCGCTTGCCCGGCCGGGCAAGACCGCTACGGACGACAGGATGCAAAGGAGAAGCTGGAACCACCAAGGCCACAGCGCGGGCATCTTGCCAGGCTGGTAGGAGGGCATCTGGGGGGGGGGGGAGGCGGGGGGCAAAGTGAGAAATGCAGCTCTGGGCCACCTGATAAAGACCCTTCCGTCGCCTATCAGCTCGGCCCAAGCCTGCGACTGAGCCCATCAGATCCAGGCAGATAGCAGCGGCTGTGGGAGGAGGAGCCAGGAGCGGCCTCCTCCCCACCCCCCCAAGAGGGACTGACTGTTAAGGTGGGGGGAGCTGAGCCAGGCTGCTGAGAGCGTCACAAAGCGGCTTTCCTAAAAGGAGTATTGAACGCCCCCCCCTTCCCAACGGGGCCAGTTCATTGGCCCACCCATCCTCAGCCTTTGTCGTTGAAGCGGGAAGGAGTGATAAGGTAGCCCCAGTTTACGGAGCCCCGTCCCCCCCGTTGTGTGCTGATCGACGGTTGGTTCTTCCTATATCGAAGACGTCCCGTTCCCTAGCAGGTAGGGCAAAGGCCCTGGTCCCATGGTGCTAAGGCCCCGGGAGGGCCTGGCCGTGGAGGGGATGGACGGAGGAAGAGGGAAGGCCGGTGATCGGGCGAGGTGCGTGTGGTGCGCGTGTGTGTCTCAGCCCACGGCGGAGTCTTTAGCCAAAGCGTGTCGCTCTCCGTCCACGGAAGGTGTGCGGGCTGCGTGTGGCTCTTGGTGCGTTGCCAGGGTTGACGCCGCCTGGGGAGGAAGGCTGCCCAGAAGCTTCTAGAAGGGGCTCCGCCCTCCCAAGCTTGTGGGGGATGGGTGGGGGGGGGGGCCTGTTTGGAAGGAATCCGCCTCTTTGCCAGGGAAAGGTTACCTGTCCACCTCTCTGGCGTGACTTTTGGGGGGCAATGGAGGGTGTGTACGTGTGTGTGTGTGTGTGCGTTGTCGCATGCTAAAACCGGCCTACCTGTATCTCTGCGTACCTGTTCTCTCACGTCATCCGGGCCCGTCTCCAACCTGGTCAATGGTGTCCCTCGCTGGCTCTTGGGGCACAGACACTCCCCCCCCAAAAGGACTGGATCGGGGGGCCCCCATTTGGGTGGGGAGTGGGCACAGGATGCTTCTTCCCCCTTCTGTCCCAGGAGCCTCTGCTTCCCTGGGACACTTGAACCCTTTCCCTCTGCCAGCAGGCTGTGGGAGGGGACTGGCTTTGGGGTGCTGTGGTGGGGGAGGGCGCCCCCCCACTCTTGGGGTTGGTGGAAGGGCTGGGTGGGGCCTCCGCAGAGACCGGGGGAGGGGGGAGAAAATGGCTTCAGAAAGTTCCCCCCTGCACCACCGCCAGGGATCCACCCTCCGGCTCCGCAGGGGGAGTTTTTTGTGGGTCTCAGAAGGGGGGGAGGGGGGGAGAGGCATGTTTTACCTCCCCCCCC